AGTTGAATTTGTTAAAAAATAAACATTTGAAACAAAAAAATAATGATTAATATCCTGTGATAATAGAAAGTCATACAAGTGCTGAATGTAGTAGAGATTGGAATCTAGAAATTTTAATCTCTCGTTTTCTACGGCGAAAAATAAAATATCCATTTTAATTCCTGCTTGCTGCTTTATTGCTTGCTTTATATTGCTTTACTGTTAGCAACTATGTTATTTTTATTTCTTATGTAAAGTTAATAATAATAGATATGACACATAATATCTATTTCATTTTAGTATACAATTTTTTAACAATTAAAAAATTACGCGTAACCAACGTTTCTTGTGAACCTTTCTTTTCAATTTGAGATTGTAATTTATTTTTAAAAATTTTCGAATATTTTTTTCATGGTAAAAGGTAGAAATTGCAGTTGTGCATGTATATAATGGCGATTGTAAGTGTGGTAATGGCTATACTTTTATTTCTCGTGTCTTCTTCATTCAAAGGTTACGGTGACGTTAATGCAGTCGGAGATTATGTACCATCTGCTTTATTTATAGCAGTTGCAATTCTAGCAGTTGTAGCTGTAAAAACTCGCAAACCGATCATGGCTTGGCCTTTTCTTATTGCAATAGTATTTATTAGAGTTTATTTTCTTTATTCTTTAAATTATTAAACAATTCGAATTTTGTAACTAATTTGCTTCATATAAAAAATTTTAAATAAATTTTATTAATTAAACTATCGGTTTTCTGTTTTGACATTTATAACAGTTCTTGTAAAATTAATTAGAAAAAAATTAAATTATGTTTTAATTACTTCAGTGTGTAGCAAACTTTGTAAATTTTAGATAGTTAAAATATTTAAAATCTAATAAACAATAATATCTATCACTTACTTCAATAATAATGATAATATTATTCAAATAATATTGATAATGATAACAATGATGTTAATCTAAATACTAATAATGAGAATAATGAAAGTTATGCTGATGACTATAATGATAATAAATTTTCCGACAGCAAAATTTCAGATTGCTACCGAAGTAACTCTGCTTGTTTCATTTATTTATCATCTCATTTACTGTTACAGACTGAAAATTGATAGTAAGTCCTTCGTTACTGTACAAACATTTTTCAGCTTGCGCAACATTTAATGTAAAGAATATTTTGTTTGTTTATTTTAGAATAGACTAAAAATAGATTTGCTTGGGAAGTATTACATTACGTTTTGGTAAATGCAACAAGAAATTCACTTATCCATTTGTTAATTTAA